CCCGCTCACTTTCAAAATCAGGGTCCCAATACAGCCAACTTGATCGCGAAGCACTCGCTATTGTATTTTCTATTGGAAAATTTGTCAACTACCTCTATGGAAGAAAGTTTGAATTAATAACAGATAATCAACCACTCACACGAATATTTCACCCAAAGAATGTTCCTCCAATGACAGATGGTCGACTTTTACGCTATGCAGTTTTCCTCAGAGGATTTGAATACAACATCAAACATCGGAAAGCAGAACAACACCAAAATGTAGACTTTCTATCCAGGACTTTTCAAACAACGGAACTTCGTGGTATCGACACAGCATTGAATAAAGAAGAAGATGAAATAGAGCAGAATTCAATCCTTCAAATCTCATCAATCAACATCACGAGTGATTAAATTTCAAAAGAAACTGCGTACGATCCAGGAATGAAAGATCTTATGAAACAAATAAAAGAAGGTGCAAATGATCCAATTTACTCAACCAATCAAGGATTGTATTCAGAGGAGAACGTGTCTACATTCCAAGATCACTACGCTCTCATGTTTTAGAAGAGCTTCATGCAACACACATAGGAATGGTAAGAATGAAACGACTCGCAAGACTCCACTGTTATTGGCCCGGAATTGACAAAGACATTGAAAATAAAGTTCGATCATGTGCAGCTTGCGCTTTACAGTCAAAACAGCCAACAAAAGTTTTTCACCCTTGGGAAATCCCTAAGGAAAACTTTGAAAGAGTTCACATGGACTACGCAGGACCATTTAATGGACACTATTTTCCTAGTAGTGATTGATGCTAAATCTAAATGGCCTGAAGTTCGAATAACCAAAAACGCACCATCCACGGCTACGACAATAGAATTTCTAAATGATATATTCTCTACACATGGATATCCTGCTGTACTAGTTTCTGATAATGCCACAATTTTCACTAGTCAAGAATTTACAGATTTTTGCCAACAAAGAGGCATATTTCAAAAATTTATCGCCCCAGGACAACCCAGCAACCAATGGATTAGCGGAACACTATGTGCAAACACTAAAGACATCTTTGAAAAATTGTGCTGAAGATCCTCGAAAGAATATTAAATCACAAATTCAAGACATACTGTTTCGCTACCGAGCTGTACCTCTACAATGCGGACAATCACTGGCTGAACTGTATTTGAATCAAAAGATCAGAACAAAACTAGATGCTCTCAAACCTCCTAAGAAAAACACATCATTACATCCAGGTTTTCAACAAGTAAGCCGCTCATTTAAAGTGGGGGAGAGAATATTAGTACATTCCTTAGACGGCTGGAAGTTCGGAAAGGTTATTTTTCAACTTGGAGCTCTGCACTACAAAGTCAAACTGGACAACGGTTACATTGGCAAGAGACACATCGATCAGTTGAAGAGAACATCAGTGCCAGAAACAACAAACACAAACAGACAAAACACACTTCAGCTCATCTCCTAAAGAAAATACCAGTTTGCAACAACAGAACGTGACATTCAAGGACAATGATCTGGAAAATATAGAAATCAGGCTTCAACGCAGAGAAGATAACAATGATCAACTTGAAAATGAAGAAATCAGGCTTCAACACAGTGAACATAATAATCCTCAAACAGATGACAATGCTTCAACAGATGTTCCTCGCAAATCAGCCAGAACAAGAAAGCAACGGAAAAGACTGGACTTATGAATCAAATTTAGTGGGGAAGAAACTGTTGTATCTCTATGTTTAATTAGCTATGCATTTAATAATTTAATCATCTATTATTAAAAAAAAATGTGATTCAATTAATGTAAATAAACCAGTTACAAAATAAGGCTCATTTTTCAACTTACATTTATTTAACTATTCATTTCAATATATAAACTTACAATACATAACACCCCTCTACTCTGTTGGACACAGACCTGGAATTGTTTGTCACATTACTGCAAGTAAGGCCAACATGTGACCTAAGCCCTCAGGGCTCGTACCGTTTCTGGCATTTAGATTCTTTATGATCTACACCGCATCCCGGTCAAGGTCGAGCTTCTTGGCGCGGAGAATACCCTGGATGTAATGTGACACACAGGTCCAATTGTCCTCACCATCCGTCATCATCAGTATGACCGTGTCTACCGACAGCAGTCCTACTAACTGTTGAGCCTCCAGGCGGGGCCTTTCCCAGCGCTGGCAGTGGAAAAATGTATGTTCCACGTCATCGAGAATGCCTGGGCAGTATATGCAATCGGGTGACACGGCTTTGCCCATCCTGAACAGGTACGACCGAAAAAAGCCGTGTCCCGTCAGATATTGGGTGAGGTAGAAGTCCACCTCTCCGTACCGCCGATTAACCAAAGGTTGGACTTGCTGTATCCGTCGCCTGGTCCAGCGTCCCCGTGTCTCCTGTTCCCAGCCCTCCTGCCACAGCTGGTAGGTGCGGGTGCGTTCCTCTGTTCGTGCCTCGTCCTCCCCGGCGCCGGTAAATTGCCTTTCTCTCTGCCGCCAAAAGTTTGACGGGGATGACTCCAGCAACCACCAGGACGGCGGGCTCGGACACTGTTCGGTAGGCAGATGCTACCCTCAGTGCTGCCTGACGTTGCACTCGGGCGAGCCGCAACCTGTATGCCTCCTTATTTAGTGTGTCTGCCCACACCTCCGCACCGTACAAGAGTACGGACTGGACCGAAGACATTAACAGCCTAGCGGCCTTGTCCGCTGTACGGAAGATCTGATCCCGCCAGCTAAGCTTGCTGTCTACTATGACCCCAAGATACTTGGCAGAACAAATGGTTTTAACCCCCCCGTGGCACGATGGTGTCAATCCGTTTTTTGTCAAAATCACGATCTCGGTTTTGCTCAAAGCAAGCGAGAGACCGTGGTCTGCCATCCATGCGTTTATGGTATGCATAACTCGGTTTAGCTCTAGCTGAGCCAGCTCAACGCTGCCTGCGTACCCAACCAAAACAGTTTCCTCAGGCATTTCAGACCTCAGAAGGCTGTCATAAGCGACATTCCAGAGGTCTGGGCCGAGTATGGAACCTTGGGCAGCACCAGAAAGTGACACTCATCGTCCGCGGGCCTTCTGTAGTGTCATACGTGAGGAGGCGGAACCGGAGATAATCCTCTATGATGCGCATAAGGTATGCCGGCACGTGGAAGGTGTTCTCCACCCAGCATATCGCACCACCTCGCCGAATTAAATGCATTTCGCACATCGAGCGTTACGAGCAGCACAACCCTACGAGAGTAGTGGTTAAAATCCTCAGCTCTCATCACGGCTTGCTTCACCTCCTCAATCCATCAATTGTTGATCGCCCCATCCTGAATCCATATTGACGAGGGGAGAGGTCCCCCTCAGCAACAATGGCTGAGTTGAGCCGGTAACGGATCAATTTCTCGAGGACTTTGCCAGCCGTATCCAACATACACAGAGGTCTGTAAGAGGATGGCAGATCTGGTTCTCCCTTGCCCTTATTCCCAATTGAGATGTATTGATAATGATGGCAATAATACTGTTTATAGTCAAGCAAACAAGTTGGGTAAGTGCCTATATTAAAATAATTAGGGCTAAAATTGGCAGTGAGATACAGCTTAAAACTAAATGACAATACATTTTTTAAAATAAAGTTGACAGTAATAACATTATTATGAACTATTATACCAAAGTTCATGAAACCATTGTTGCATACTTTAGAAACAATGTCCTACTGACAAATAGAATTTTACTGAAAATCATCATGTTTGAAAGATAAAAATTCCTTGATATAGTAGATAGCCTTCCTGTTTAAAAAATCGGTCAATACATTTTTCAGTGATGACTTAATAGGCAAGATGCGTACAGTTTCGAAGGGAGGGCATTGAAAAGTTTGAGTTGTAAATATTTATAGCTGCGCTGTGTTGAGGCCAGTCTTAATGATGGTAACTCTAAATTATTCCTTAGTCTGGTGTAATGATTGTGAGTTAATGAGCAAGATGAGAATTGTTCAATATTTGATTTTACAAACATGATATTCTGCAAAATGTACACACTTGGTAAAATGAGAATTTTGTATTCAGGGAAAAAGGTCTTACAACTAACTACTTTTTATACCAGCTAGGATACGGATTGTTTTTTCTGTTTTTTTTTTAACGTTAACTGACCCACTACTACTGCCCCACAAAATTACCCCATAAACTAAGTGACAATGAAAGAATGCATACTTTTTCAGTTAGTGCATATGGGACTGGGCGAGCTTTCACAAACATGGGTCTTGTCCCTTAAACCGCTGTAAGTGTCATTTGTTGTGAGGTATTAGTCCTACTCCTGGTTCAAATAACTCTCTGAATTAGGTAATTCAAAAGATCTTCCAGTGCAGTAGATGCAGTATTGCTACTAACTGCTTTCAGCTCTGCCCGATCCAGAGTTTGACTTCTCTAATCCATTCTTTTACAAAAATTGAATCGAAATTTATATTCACTATGTAAAGTTTACCAACAAACACCTAGTTTTTGGTAATTTTTTGTGTAAATTGTGTAAATAAAAACATCAGATATTTCACCGCCTTCATCCCTAGAGAGTGATTGACCCGGGTCACAGAAATCACAAGAGAGTGATTGACACAAACCATGGTGAAAAGAAAAAACATAGCTCTGATATTCCCGTCATTTGCTGACGTCACCCTTATTGGAAACGCCATTTCACTATTTAGAAAAATTTATAAAAAAAATAACTAACAAATCAAAACAAATATTTACTTATATGGCAGTTATAATCAGTGATATTCAGTTTTCAAACTAGGTGAAATCAGCCTATGACGGGAGTATCACACCTAGATGTTTTTCCTTCCACCATGGACACACACTCAAAGTGTCATAGAGTTTTGAAGCATCTTTAAAGTTATGCTCAATCAAATAGGTCTTGTCAACATATACGTTTTTTAAATAGTGTTACCAGTACTTATTAAGGAATAAAAGTAAATTTTTATTTAAAACTCTAAAAAACCATGTTGATGTTGTATACAAAGACAACAAAACAACTTACCCTGACGCTATCAAAGTGGAGGGTACATGTTCCTGAAGCTCTGATACCAAGTTTCATTTCTTTCTTTCCAACTTCAAAACCAGGTGCATCCCTCTCCACAGCAAAACATGTAATCCCCTTGTATCCCTAGACATTAAGAGAAAACTTAATACAAGAGAAGAATTAGTCTGATAAGGCCATATTATTGGGTTATGAATCTACAAACCCCCAGCATAAATAAAACAGACTCCATTAGTAGATTGGTTAGTCTATGTCCCTAGTTACCATTATTATCAGCAGGAGCCTTATTTTTTAAGTTTATGTAAAATAAAATATCTACCTAAACACCAAACCTATTGGCACCAGACACACATCTTAAGATAGAAGATCAACTATTTTTTAAAAGGTAATAAATAGTACAGGCACTAAATTGATTGAGTGCAGTGAGTAAATAGTGAGTGCAGCCAAAGTTTGCAAAGACTTTCACCACAGTAACAAAGTTGTCTATAGGAGTTCATCATTGGCAAATAATACAGTTAAGTAGTTATTATGTTGGATTAAGACAATTATTACTCAAATTGACCTGGAGGAGTTTCACAAAGTTGTTATAGTTGATTGAGCTATCTTATTAGTTATGGTTATTATAAGTTTATATTCAAAACATAAGCATGCCCTACTGGTTTTACAGTGTAAGAAGGCAGTTTAAATTCTTAAACCCTACTAGCTACTCTCATCACACAGAAGTAAGATACAGAGGATACAAGCTTATGGGACAACCGTGCGCTTTTAGCTCTGGTATGTAGGCTACTTGTAACGAGCAAGAAAGCCTGAACGGCGATGACCACGTATTATTTTTGTATAGCAGTTGTAGCGCATAGGGTCTTCCTACAGCATGAGCACTGTAATATATATATACTACATACTTTATATACTAAGGGAAAGGAGAGAGGAAGGGATGACAAATAGAATTTGCTCTTGACACCAGCAACTGATGCTAAACACCACTTAAGTGTAGGTACCATATTTAATGTATCATCTGTATCTTACTTCTCTGTGCTCCCATAGACTAAATAAAGCAGCAAAAAAAAAGAACTAAAATAAAAATACTAAGCTTAAGGTTGGGTATTAATAGTTACATAGTATTTCTATTTTTATTTTAGATATCAAATATATCCTTTATATTTTAAGTGCATTTTTACAGTCATTCTTAAATCATTCAAATCGTAAATGAGATAATTGCTATTTCATCACTCCATACAGAAGCTATTACCATAGGTGGCATCGTGTAAGACCTAGGCCCGGGACCAATTTACTGTTTCATTTTCATATCCCCAGTGGCCAACGACACCATTCGTTCAAATTTGTATATACCGTATATATATAAAGAAATAAATAAAAATTCCTTTATTTATCAAGCGTTTCTCAGTACAACTGCTTTTCAGAACAACTTTCCTCAACAACAATAATTAAACTAACGAATAAATAAATAGAACAGTAACAAAACAGAAACAATACCATATAAATAACAATAATCAACCATCGGCGTACAATTCTTTTATCTTAACTCTAAAGGATGACAAAGCATATTTTTTTAGGCCAGAGGGGAGGTCATTGTACAACTTAGGGCCGAATTACAAGAAGCTTCTCCTTCCAAACTCAAGCCTCACTCTTGGAAGGTGAAGCTGGAGACTTCCATGGCAGGTACTGCGCTGAGAGACCTCCTCCCGGAAAGAGAGCCTCTCAAGAAGGTACTGTGGCTCCTGTACGACAAGAGCCTTGTGCACCATGCAGCACGTCATGATCCTGCAAACAGTGTCTACTGTTGTCATCCCCGCTACAGCTCTAAATGGAGTGATGTGTTCAAATTTTTTGAGGCAAAAATTGAATCGAATAGCAGAATTTTGCAGTTTTTGCATTCGGTTCATGTCTTCTACAGAGATGCTGTTTCCATAAGCAGGGAGACAATATGTAAACACCGACAGGACTAGTGACTGCATGAGGCGCAGCTTCGCAGATGCTAGCAGCAGACTTCTGAACCTGTACAGACCTCTCAGCCTTCCTAACGCGCACTGCGAAGCATGTGTGACATGGTCAGAGAAGGTGAGGCTGCTATCAAGCACAGCGCCAAGAGTCTTTGACTTGTCACACAAAGTCAGATTCCCCGTTGAGCACAACACTCACTCCTCTCTCACTGAGGGACTGCACCAAGTCATGTGGCGTTGTATGCATCACAGTACACTTGCCAGTATTGAGTTTCAACCATTTGCCTCTGACCACAAAAGGATTTTTTGTAGGTCAGAGTTAATGAAATTGAGTGAAGCTTGAGAGCTTCTAAGTGGACTGCTTGATGAGTCTGGGATGGCTCATAGGACAAGTGCAGCTGTGAGTCATTGGCATACAATTTAACTGTACAATGTTGCGCACAGCTAGGAAGGTCTGCTGTGTACAAATTGAATAGAACAGGCCCAAGACAGCTGCATTGGGGTGCAACCTCAGGGTTTAGGGTTAGTGCTAGGAACTCTCTTTATTGTCCAATTTCCTTGCTAATCTTTTAATTTATGAGACTTTTTTTGTGATACTAAAGTGATAGCCTTTTGATTATTTTCTTTACCAAATGTTATATTAAATTTAGATAGGATTGTTAAAAAAAAATGATACATTTAGTCTCTCAAGCACATGGCTTATAGCCTAATTTTAATGTCTTTTTGTTTCTAATTTCACTAAAAGTTTTTACTTGAATCAAAGATTTTATATAGGTTTTAACAACTATGAGGCTACTCGATCCACCTCAGATGTAATGTTCACAAATTTCCAACACCTAAATAGGCTAGTCTAAAATAATTAGATGGGGATTACCAAGTTCAATTTTCTTCTCTGAAAAACCATTTCTTCTTGCCTGTATGGTATACAAAAATTATTCCTAATTGTTCCAGGTCTTCTTACTATTTGAAATAATAAACTATTTTGGTTTAGCTTTCACTTTTTATTAGAACATATTAATAAGGAAAATGGAAATTCGATTAGTCTGCAGGTTTGCTGCGGAAGGGGTATTAATACCAATACTTTACACTCTTAAGAAAGCAATTACGGAGCAACAATGATGCTTCGTGTCACGCCGCTACAACAGTAGAACGTGTAGCGCCTACATACCGAACCACGGCAACCTCTGCAGCGACTTCTGGCAGAGACTGTACCGTTGGAGCTTATGAAACTTAGAGGTTATGAACCGCTCTGTTTATTTGATATTTAAAAGTTGGAGTTTGTGAAATTTGGACATTGTGAAACTGTGCTTATTTGAAAGTTATAGTTTTGTAGTTTATGAAGTTTGGAGGTTATGAAACGCACTGTTTATTTAATATTTTAGACGTTGGAGTTTGTGAAATTTGGACATTATGAACCTCACCCAATGATAGGATTCATATAAATAGGAGTGGGTTTATATATCAGGGGGCGCCAACATTACTCTCGCAAGTCTGACAAAAAACACCTTGCGACGGCACTTAGCAAACCTAAAACGACATGTGTATCCTTATTTTACAAAGTTTGGTAGGTAATGCATTGATTTAATATTCTTTCAATGATGACGGGGGTTATATTTTATACTGAAATCAGATGTTTTGCATTAGGCCTTGTCATAATATTTTGCCCTCCTTCTGTTCCTTGTTTAATTTGTTCAAAACTATTGTATTGTAAAACATATGATTTAATCTTTGTTTACATTTAGTCAAAACACAAAATGTTAGAATACTTGTTGTAGTACAGTTTTAGTTGATTAAAACCTTATTAATCTGAGGTGTTTATCATTACAATTTAATCAACTAACTCAACAACAAACTGAAGACAATGGATAAACTTCTGAAGCCCGGGAAACTTAATATTGACCCTAATACCAACAATGCACAAGAAGAGTGGATACACTGGTACAGAACATTTGGCAATTTCATTGATTCATTGACGCCTGCACCAAATGACAAGATGAAACTCAATTTTCTCGTAAACTTTGTTGGACCAAACGTTTACGGCTTCATATCAGAATGCAAAAAATATCAAGAAGCAATTGAAATTTTGAAACATTTATATGTAAAGCCTAAGAATGAAATTTATGCCCGGCATCGACTTGCCACGCGAATGCAGGGGGCTGAGGAATCATTAGATGAATTTTTCCAAGCATTGAAAATCACTAGTAAAGAATGTAAGAGTGAAAATTTAAAAACGTACGTTTTCATGTCCCTGGCCTTTTACTTCGTAGATACTGGATTTGTAGTTTATTATTATGTGTTTTAATATTTTTTGGGACGGGGGCAACATGTTACACACATTTATTTGGTTTTAAATAGGTTCTAGGTATTTTTTTCGTATTTTTAAAGTCTCGAAATTCACGACCATGACGTGTCCCTAGGGCACATTTTCCAACTTTCACGCTGTTTTTAGACTAATTATTCATGCCGAAATATATAAAGCCATATTTTTATGTCATCAATGATTATTAAATTTACATAAAAGGGGCATATTATAATTTTATTGGCATTGCAAACTGACTACCATGACAAAATAAGTCTGTCCCTCGATTTGGCGTCACGACCATTTGGGAACAATTTTCAACTTTGGAGCACGACAGTGGCAAGCCTGGCGTCGATGGATTTAGTTGGTTTTAGAGACTAGTTCGGGGTGTATGTCAGGATTGTAGTGCCGGTCGTTTCGAGTTGAAAGGAGGAATTACAAGATTAATAAAGGAAAGATTGTGTTTTTTGTAATTTTGGTGTGTCCATGACCGTACGTAGTCATTCGATGTAGTAGACATGGTGTTATTTTTTGTTTATTAGATATTTCAATTGCTAGATTAACCTAGAAGTCCACTTTGTATCCTCGAACATGAGGTGCAGGGCTACCGCCAGAACACAGCCAAATAACACGTAATTTCACGACCAAAGTTTCACGACCATCGCGGGTTTTTTCACGACCAATCCAGCCTTATGGATTATAGTGTGTTTGGTCGTGACAATAACTTTAATATAATTGTAAATTGGACGGTTTAGTTCAATTGAAACACATATTTTTATTATAACTAACAGTATAATTGAAGGATTGTTTAGAAAGATTTAGATTATTCCAGACAATTCACGACCGTACCGCTTGTCCCTGACCAT